AGTAATTCGTCCAACAACATCTGTAATGTTCTGAAAGTAGAGAACCTGAAAATCCGATGATGTGGAGAAACAATCCTGTTGCAGTGTAAAACGATAGAATGAATGTGAACGAGCGACTTTGCGCTTGCTGTTGATATAGCTTTATGAAAATAGCCGTATTTTCTCAATAAAGAGGAATTGCTCAACTAGATATATGTTTTTCTAGATGTACAGATTCAGATGGATCGAACCCAGATGGATCTAAATTGCTGACAATGAGCTGGATTTGCTGATCAAATAAATAAATGTGAGTGCTGTGGCGTATCGTTCGGTTGTTGCATGGCTCCGCCTACTTTAATGGACAAGTTAGTTAAGAGATCACCATCTAAGCATGAGTTTAAGCTCGAGTTTCAGGCTTACAAGCACGTAAGGGTAGATGAGACTAGGTGCCTTTGTACAGCGTCCCATCGCGTTGCCTGGTGCTGAACATTATCCCGAATGGTACACTCATTTCATTGCCAGGTGCAAATCATTGCCTAAAAACCACCTCGTGAATTGTTTAATACAGACTTGTTTGATAAACGTTTAGTTATTTGATTAATGTATTTTTTAAGAATCTGAGGAGGTTGAGGCCTTAAATTAAGCTTGAACCTCAGGTCGACTTTGAGTTTGATCAAATCACAGCAGTACAACCTGAAATCTTTGGACTCTTCTGTTAAATGTAAAATGCAACGTTTTGAGAATTGACCATAAGTGAATATTTTCTGTAGTACTTGAAAACTTGAGAAGCGAGTAATTTTCATCGTATGAAGTGCATTGTTAGACATTCATAAAACTGATTTGTATTTTTGTGCTTTGATATTTAGCTTGTGTTGAAATGTCAAAAGCAGTGAATTTGAAAGTGTGTTCAATCTCGATAAGAATGTTTTAATTCAGACTTGTAGTTCTGAATTTGTGACGTTGTATGATTTTTTATGTCATAGCAGAAAGGTAGTACGTTGTTGTGGTAAGTGCTTTTGATAAGACTTCAATGGATAGTAAATGAATTGAGTGCCATCTCCAAATAGTACTCATTAATGGAGGCCGACTATTTAGTTTGGGCTGTTATAATCCTTGTCACTGAACCTTTGTTATGACCACAAAATGTCATGATCATATTCCGCTCGCACACTTATTCTAGTATTGCTTATGTTGTACTTTTTCCACGCAGTTGTATGATTTCCACGCTGATGCGTCGAATTTAGGTGTGAAAGTCAAGTGCCAGTTCTTAACGTGAGCATTTATTTGATCCCGATATTTTGGACTTCCATTTACATTCTCGATATATCTTGAAGGGGCGATTACTCAACACCTTTTATTCCTGATAACTTGATTTCACAATTGTTTTTGTTTGCACATTACTATCCATAAAAAGTTGATAAATTGACAGCGCATTACTATCCATAAAAAGTGGGTACTTGTGTATTAAACTATGTGCTCTCTGACATTATTTCTTTACAAACGGCAAAACGTATGTACAAGTGAGAAGCGTATCATATGTACAATTGGATAAAACACCGTCATGATTGTTGCCATAGAGAAAAGAGCAAAAAACGATGCCTGAGCCTAAGCCACAACATGACCCTCAGAGATTCGCCTGAGTTAGCAAGCACTGCTTACTTTCTTAATTATCTGCGTTGTATGTTTTTAAATGGACGGTCACTATTTAGCCGTCTGACTGAAATTATTGTAGTGCTTTGAAAAATCACATATGGTACAAAAGTACCAGAAAGTGAATGTTTTTGAAAAATTTTTCACACCATAACATTTCATTCTGTCTAAGTCTCGTATTCATTATCTGGAATGGAATCTTTTCGTCTATTTTCGTTCTTCATACTTTTGGTTTTCTGCCGTATTGTTTTCTTTGAATTATTTCTTCATCTGTTGTTTATATGTTTCGTGAAAACGCATTTTAGAAAATGGGCACTTGTGAATTATTTGATTTGGAGCAGTAAGATCCAGCGGTTTTTCACAGACTCTGTACATAATCTTATTTCAGTAAACGATGTCGAACCATACAACAAGTACCTTTTTATCATCATTTATTGTGTTGATGCTATTTGCGGGGATATATGTAACCAAGGTTGGTCTTATAATTTTGTATCATCGTGGTAAGCAGGCATTTTGAGTTGGTAACTAATCATTTTGTAAACAAACTGATGATTAGTTCCTTTTGTCGAAATTTTTTTGAAAAACTTGTTTGGTGAAGTTTGTGTGTTAGGTAGCTGTAATTGAGACTGCCGACTGCATCTGTTAGGTTATGTTGCACGTAGCCGAATGGAAAGATTTTAGCTGTGACACTATGCCGAATAATAAAAACAACTTCAGGCATATAATATTATCAAGATTTGATGTGCAATATTTTGAAAGATGGGTTTTGTTACTTGCATCATTTAGATTCAGCCATCAAAAGTTCCAAAATCTTTTCAACACATTCAAATTAGTTTTTCAGAGGTCTTTGCCAAATTAGTCATGAGAGTTTCGGCGAATCACTTACTATTTGGTATTCCAATATTTCCTTTTTCATAATACGGTTTATACGAAAAAATTGTTGCTCATCGTTATAACGAGGTAATGTACAAACTGTATATGATGAGTATCAACTGATATTTAGGCTGAATTGGCTGCCAGCAGAGCTGGTACGATGATGGGTGGTTTGCTGTGTTCAGTTTTATTCGTTTTCATCTTAACGGCGATTTCAAATATGCAAATGTCGTCTGTTGGTGACAGTGCTAAAGTCGGTCTTATCGAAGTGGTGATTTGTCTTCTTCTTGCAGCGCTTACTGCTGCTTCTGTTCATCGTGTCGCAGTGACGGTATGATGTTATACATCTAAAATGATTATAAATTTCGGTGGCTCTAGGAAAAAATTGATACTCATATAATTGGGAAAAATAAACTAGAGAGAACTAATTGAATGTGTTTACATCAGTACGAATATATAACTCAGTTTTTTCAACAAAAATCGTTTATGTTTGATCAGCCTAAAGAAAGATTCCTTTGATATATTTTTTAGGGATTTTGAATTTCGCAAACACTGAACCGTATTAGAGTATGAGAATATCATCAATGAATGGAAACACCAGTGTAAGCGTAAAACGAACGTTTCAGGTATATATGCTGATGAGTATGTTTTTCATATTCATCCTATCGAATATTGCTCAAACGCGATACAGTGTTAATATGCCGCAACAGTCAACCCTTCTGAAGAAGAAGAAATAAATATGTTAGGTCAATACTCACATCATCTTCTCATTTCAAGCTTATCATGCAACTCGATTATAATTGTTGGTTTTCGTTGAGTTGGTGAACAGAACTGATTACTGTTATGGATGATTCATCCTTTGTGTTACGTTTCGAAAATTGAACCTTATTTTATCACTAGTGCAACTATATGTTAGCGTTGTTACTTCGATTTTCTACTGATAGTCGAGAAAAAGGCCTTGATTTAAGTATGTTTCAAAATTTCGTTTTTTGTTTGTTGTTCATGTTTCGTCATTCAGTGATCGCAGATAATTGTGTCGATTCTACTTTACTCATCTCAGTCTTATTTGAGTACGTTCAATTTCGAATATTTCCGTAATTATTTTTTGAGGTTACTGTGATATCCATTTCTGTACTGAATAAATTGTTGTGGAATAATGAATTGAAATGTTCTGTTCTTTCATTTGATAAGAGCGGTTATCAGTGTTCTGCATAAAGGAAGTTATCTGTTTATGGCATCCATATTGTCGTTGCAGATGATGAAATTAATTTAATTTGAACTTAACCAGTTCATTCGTGCAGTTTGTTTACTGCTGAAGCTATCGCAAACTTTTAACTGTATTACCATGCAAGTTAACATCCAGTTGTTTTAATTTTTAGTTTGCGTCATATGATCCAAAAAAATTTTTGCAGCAATATTATTGAGGAGTGAATAATGTTGGAAAAAATTTGTTGCGTTCATCAAAATCTGCATTTGCGTATGAAGAATAGTTTTTGTTATGACAATGATCAATATGAACTGACTGGATCAATTTTTTGAGGATTGGACCATATAAATTCGTGGAATTTGTCAGAGTTCTCGTAAGACAATAAGCCTATATGGACTGTAAAAACAGCAATGAGACATCCAGATCGGATTGTATGCATTAATCATAAGCGTGTTGAAACGATAGCATCATTTTGATTTATTAGCCTACCATCATTTGTTATTAATTTCGATTATGTTCTCTTAGGATCAATGGTACTGTTGCACTGTTTATTGCTTTTTCCAGAATGAATTCCAGTTTTCTTTTGAAGTAAAGTTATCGTGGAAAAAAGCAAGCAGATCAGGCACAACAGGAAAGTACAGTAGATTAAGACGTGAATATGGGTAACGACTCATCGAAAGTGACGGGAGCACCGAAGAAATTGGGATCTGGAATCACGCTGAGGTCCGGACCCTCGTCGAAGACTGTTCAACAACATATTGATAATGCGCGAAAAAGTCGGATACTGCAGCTGAAAGGTTGCAATTTGAAAATTGTACCTGAGCAATTAAATGAGGTAATATAATGCATATATTATTTTTTACTGCTACAGCAAGCTGATCATTGAAATGTTTGTTGTATGATAAAAATCAGTTATGGTTTGTGCTGCTTGTTTTGTCAATCAGATTTGAGTTTTGTCTTTTCGTCTCATTCATCTTATTTCAGCACTCACATATTGTATTTTTGCTGTGATTTTTTTTTTGTCGAAAGAACAAAATTAGATTTGAACATTAGGAAATTTGAGACAAAATTCGAGGGTTCTTTCGTCAGGTATAGTTCCAGTTTTGTTTTTTTCTGAGTCGTGATTACAATGCAGTTAATTTCAGCTCTATATTGAGTGAAGAATTGTGCGATTATTTCTTGAATATTGCTTAAAATTATTCTGATTTGGAAGATATTGATAAGAAATATTTCCTGAAAGCGTTTAGCAGTGATCAATTCAAGTCATGAAAACTTCGAAAATTTTTCGCTACCATTCGTTTGCGCATTTCCTAACGCTAAGTGAATTGTAACGAATTAGTTGTAGAGTTTGAACGATCTTATTTGAAAAATAATTTTTTATTGATTGATTTGTTGTATATTTTAGGTAAGCGGTATTTTACGGAATTTGGATTTATCAGAGAACCGAATTCGAGAATTACCTGAGTCAGTTGGTTTATTCAACAATTTGAAACAGCTGCATGTGTCCAGCAACCAACTACAAGCTCTTCCCGATGAAGTGGGAATGTTGAAAAAATTGGAAGTGCTGAATGCTGCTTGCAATGCAATCTCCAGTTTACCTGATTCATTCGCTGGTTTATCTTCATTGAAAGTCCTGAACCTATCTGCAAATAAGTTTTCCACATTACCTGTCGTCTTAACTCATCTGTTTTCCCTGGATAATCTTGATATGTCGGGTAATCTCCTCGAGAAGCTGCCTGATGAAGTAAGTTATTTTCGAGTTGATCTTACTTCCTCATTTTTTATGTTCTTGGATAGGGCTGAAAGTATGTATTTTCCGGCAGTCCATGAGCAGTTATTTGGTTTACTTTTGTGCTTTTTTTCGAATGTCAGCGAGTTTATACTCAGTGACCTAAACTTGATGGAACCTATGCTGAATTCCCTCTGGAATTTGATTTTTATCTATAGCGTGCTGCGCTTTTTGGCAATATGCATGATTAATGTCATGTTTCAATTCATACTTATCATTGACAAACGGCATTCAAACAGCAATTAATTGGATTCCCCAGTCGATTTAAATATTGCGTGTACAAAATCTAACACGTTCAGTTGGAGTACACAACTACAATAGTTTCGTGTAGCAAATTTTATTGTTGATCAAAATCCTTTCCTTCCAGTGTCACTATAATATACTACCTTTGCAAAGAAAGTCTTTTTTAAGGTTGGAGCCTTGAAGACATCAGAAATGAATTTCAATCAGAACCGGCTCAGTTCGTTGAACGAAAATTTGGCGAAATGTGAGCGACTGAAAACGCTTCGCGTGGAGGAGAATTGCTTAAATAGGAAAGACTTCGGTCCGGAACTGCTTTCAAATTCAAATATAAGCTTGATTGCATATGCGGGAAATCTTTTGCAAGACAAAGATTTCCAGAGCTTGCCTGGTTATGAGGATTATCAAATTCGTTTTACAGCTACAAAGCGGAAAATGTGAGCATCTGCGCTTTCAGTTCCAATTGCATTCCGTCAAAGACATGTGATTTACCTTTCATATGATTGGCATTAATAAGTTCTACGCGCCTTTTTCTGAAAACTCTCCTCCATAGTAGACACAGTCTACAACTGATTACACACTGTGGCTAAATGATAGGCTAGGATGTCTTGGTTACTGCTTATTGTCTTCGCCGTTTGCCCAAATTTCGAAAACTTTCTGCCGTATGAATAGCAAAGGTCGAATGAATAGCAAAGATCACTTGTAAGAGGACGAATCAGAAACTTTCGCGAAGACATTGCAATTGAAATATGGCCGGAAAATGGTTCAGCACACTTCTGAGGAATGGTTGAATTCGCTTGCTTGCGAATGCGCGTATTTATATATTCAGTTGTTTTGGTCATGTGAAGTGAGTTAGGCGATTGATCACGAATGATTAAAAGTCACTTTAAAAATTCGCACACTGACATCTTTCAACCAATCGCTTTATGAATTTATTTGCCTTAACGCTTTCACCCTCAAAATCATATCAATTCATGATGAATTTTTCGCCTTTATGGCAAATTTCTCTAAGTTATGGCTCATTCCTTGTAAAAATTTCTAATTCAACTTCGTGCTAATCGTCATTTCTCTAGTCTCCAGCCGAATGATGTATTTTTGCGCATCTTGCAGAATTTGTGTTTTCTATCAAGGAATGTTTTTGAAAAAAAAACGGGTCATCGAAAATAAGCACATTTTGATTCATTGCGGGAACAGCAACGAGAAAAGATTCGAAATTGCAATTGAAAATTGTCTATCTTCGAATATTAGATGAAGTAAGTGACTTGAAGGCTTTGTAAAAGCGGAGATGCATCAACGTCTTTGCAAACAACGATTTACGAAGAGTAATAAAAGAGCGGAAGAATGATGTACGTAGCGAATATTTGAATAATCTACCAAAAAACAAATCACAGTATTACAAAACGTAATTGCTAAGTGTTTGAAATGTATGACAGAATGTGGCAGAAAACACTAAAATTCAGAGTAATTGCAGTCTTAAGCGTGCGCATGTGAACCATGGTGATATTACGATATTGTATAACTGTATCTTCATGCTATATTATTATGTTTTATGAATAATATGAATCCGCATTATTGTGTATTATTAGTATTGTTATGCATTATATATAATATTATTATGTACTTTATTAATGATAATTTTAGTTGTTTCATCTAACCATGAGTCCTGAAAATGACAAGATGTGTCGATAAATAAAGGTGAAGAGAATAAAATACTACAGAAGTAATGTCGGCATTTCTTGCTAATCTCTCTACCGGACGTTAAGAAATTACGTTTTTGTTTCCTAAGTAGTTGGTTTTTGGAGTTGAATACATACAACAACATCTTTTGCGTTTTACTTGGCTTGTGTATAATGAGGAGTTGAATACCGTTAAGTGAAATGAACCTGCATGTTTTATGATTGATGGGCTGATTTTTGTTGTATCGACCGCGTACTCTATTTATGTTTTTATGATTGATCAAGTGACTTTGAATTCCATTTATTTCATTATTGTCGTCTCAAATAATTTAAATCGCAGTTGAACAACCTCATCGGATGATTTTTTTCAAGTAACTTTAGATTGATCCATCTTGTTTTCCGTTCACGGCTGCTGTCATATTAATTATTGTCAGTTGCTTAGTTTTCATAGGAATTATCTTATCTGTTTTGGCCTACATCGACACTTTTTTCCAGCTTTATGCTTCGTAACAGGTGTGGTTTGTTTGCTCTATGTAGCAATCCTGAGTCGCCTTGTATTTTTATTTATAAAATGATTTGCTTGGTTTTATATTTATCGTGTTAAGTAACAATTGATGTTTTATATTCGATTGCAGGTTTTTAAGTTATCAACTTCACATTCGATCGCGTAATAAATTTCAACTGTAAGTGAAAATTTTTGCTCACAATCAATTTTTTTGTATTGCTGCAATACTCCGTGTAATTTAACGGATCATATGAAGTTTGTGAAAACTGTTAATTGCATTCTTTCAATTTGGTTTATGCATAGTTTATGGAGCAATCCACTAGCAAATGAATAAGAACAAAGTAACAATCAAAATATATTATTGAAATATTATGCAAAGCAAAATATTATTAGCGAAATTATACAAATGATATAAAGGAATGCATGGCTACAACAATACTATAGAGCGTGTTTTATTATATTTACATAGGTATTTGAAACGAAAATATTTTCAAATAACCGAGCTGTAAGAACGTTTTGCAAATCCTACATGCAAACAATATTTGNGAATCGAGCAAGAAACGTTTTTAAATGCTTCTATTTTAATGAATGCATCGCTACTAGTTTCTATGTATTGGAAGCTTCTCGTGTTCTCAAACATCAGTTCGCAGTTTCGTGCATGAATAGCATTTTACATTCATGCGCGACTTTGGGAGTTGTGATTTTTGCATGTGTGAGTCGTGATGGCTTTAAGGCTCGGTTTTGAAATCATTAATATTTTTTGATGAAGTACAGCATATCTCGAAAATACAGTATTCAACACAATTTTCCTAAAGGTCTGGCAATGGAGGACGATCCATCTTTGTTTTGTCCATTTCGTTAGCCTCTACATTATTGTTGCGGAAACGTGCTGCAGCATTGGGACGTACTTTCCTTTTATGCTTCTCAGCTGACTTATTTTTGTATCCTTTCCTTGTTTCTAATTTGGTTTTGAAGCGATCAATCATTGATAAGATTGCTGGTAGAAAAATGAGGCCGTGTGCATTGCACAAAAAAACGCATAGAGCCATTGTTTTAACGAATACCTGAAAGCATTATCTTTGAAGGGTCGACAACTCAGCGGAAGGATTCAGTTGCGAGTACAGCTGAACAACGTGAAACAATAATTCATCGAAAAGAATTAATTGAAGAGAGATTTGGACATCCGATGACAAATAAATAAATTCCGCAACAAAATTTAGAAGTTTTTCGTGTTGACTTGATTCTTTCATCGATTTGTATCACTTTTGTTTTCCCGTTTCATAAGTCATCCCACACTTATGGTATCAGACAAGTTTACCACTGGTGATATCACTTATCAGTTCAGAATATTTTTCAATTGAACGTTTTTAACTCTTCGTAATTTTTTTCATCAGTTCATTTTTATATCAATTCTAGATTGCCCTCTCATGCTGATTCCGAACATGTAATCCGTCATTTGATGTGGTACATTTCTTCACGTCGTCATTTGGTCTTGATATTTTCTCGTTTTCACTTTTAAATGCTGCATGCCTGCTCGCAACATAGCAACCACGTTCGTAACGAAAACATTTTTGTACGCCCCTAACGGTTATTATGGAAACTGATACATCTGAATGTAACATTGTACGACTTGTACTAATATGTGACCTTCATCTTTAAAAATTTAGCTGCAACATTCGAAAACATCGGGTGAATATGTGACAATATTGCGAAGAAAACATTGGGCGTCTATTAGATTAACGAACCAATATACAGAGGGAGTGACTGCATATTCGGAATCAGCATCGACAACCGAGCCAGAATCGATTTGAAAGGCACGTTCAGTTGATTTTTAAAAGCTGTCATTTATGTTTCAGTTATTCCATCTTCCACGAGAAGCATGTTGATGTTTTTTCGTTTGTGATTCTTATTGAAAGGAATAAATGGAAGCGAAGCATGAAACTTACTCTCGCCATGTAAATGTTTGCTAGCAGTAAACTACTAACACATAATATTGTTGAAAGTGCTGCTTGAAGGGCTGGGAATGCGACCGATGACAAGCAGTTACCCAGTCGTTGCTGTGGACTTGCATCCCGTCCACTTTCACCTTCAAATTATAACACAATGTTCATCATTCCGTAGATACTTACTTCATTTCGGACTTACCCTTGATCCATCATAAATATGAACTACGCTATGCATCGTCCATGAGCACACGAAAATTTTATATTAGCGTAAATTCATATCACAAGAAAAAAAGGTGCTGAGGTTGTTTCATTCATCTAAGCCAGCCATCGGCAAGTAGGTTTGGCCGCGGGCGGAAATTTTTGCGAGCGACTGACTGACGGGCCACCGTATATGTGTCCGCGACATAGTTAGTCATCAATTAGGAAATTCTGTGTTGAAAATCTTTAGCGTAGTAGCTAAATAATTTAAAACCTGTTTTCTTTTCCTTTTTATCCCTTTAAAATCAAATTCTCAAATTCATCTGGCGGACCAATTCTGGCCCGCGGGCCGGGGGTTGCCGATGCCTGCTCTAAACTTACATGCTTTGTAGTAATGGTAGGAAACATGAGCTGGAATATCCACACTGAAACCAATAGAGATAATCATTGCGGCCATTGTTATTGGATCAAGATCAATATTCCACCATGATAAAATGCCGAGAATGCCTGAAGGATAACATCTTTTGAGAACTGTCAAAAAATGATTCAGTTTGATAGCACAGATTTAAATTTAAAACATTCACAACTTTTGCGCGAATTTCATGTTTTTTTATTGCTTTAGGCAACGCTTCTAAAAATGTGCTAGGAATAAAGAAATTTTACTTTATTATGCCAGCAGATCATTGAAGGCTCAATTCACGATGATAAAAGTAGTGTTTGAGAGAATGTTCTTTTTTTTCTTGAGCTGTGTCAGTCTATGAGTACGATTAGTTTTATGTCGACTTTCAATCGCTGCATTAAAACGAGCAATTATTCAGTGAATAGAAAAGTATTGATATAATGAGTCGTTGCTTAGCAGAGTTGGGAATCGAAAAATTTATTTGGTGGCCACCAAACGAATACCCTCTCGATGGCCAAAAAAATTCGATGGCCAGCGTCAAGGGTATTTTGAGCATCGGCCGGTCCGATTTGCTGAAGACTTTGACCGATCAATCATTTCCGGTCTCGGTTAATGGCCACCAAAAATCAAGTATGCTCAAATTCTTTTAACAGGCACTGATAATCGCTTTTTCTTGTCAGTTTTAATCGAGGAACGGAGATTCGCGCCTATGTTTATCATCAATTTTAATTTTGCCGACGAATGTGCAATTTTTTTCCTCGCCGAACTGATTTGGTTACAACTAGTACTTGCACGAGATCTCGGTAATACCGAATACCGGTATTAGAAAAGCGATACCGATCTCGTGATTCGTTGTATCGATATTTCCGGTATTCATACCACAAATTATTGTAAGTGAATTTGGTAGTATATCCATCACGACTGGAGTATATCCATCACCCATTTTTTTNTGTTGAATTTCTTGAGCTTTGGTGGGTGATTTATTAAATAAATTCTTTTCTGAATAATTATGAACACATTGGCTCAAAAAGAATGTGTTGAACAAGTCACATTTCTATATTTCAAAAGTTGCTTTTCAATACCGGTATCGTATCCGTATTGAAAAACAATACTAGTATCAATACCGATCTCGGTATTGAGAAAATGGTCGGTATTTTGCAAACACTAGTTACAACCGACCGGTCAATCTGTTGATGGCTACAGATTTTCAGGATCCTTCGACTTTTGATGACTACCGACTCAACTCCAGTGCATAGCTCCTCGTTCTTGAGTTAGAACCTCATTTCATCTTGTAGTTCAATAAAAAACAATGTCTAGCAGTTCGAATGTGACGTGGAATGTGTTCGTTTAGAATAAGCAATCATTTCAGTACTATTGCATCATCTCACAGTATGAGTACGAATTCACATACCAACGCATATCGATAGAACGCAACTGGTCGCTATTGCAACTGTAAGAACACTTCTGAGAAAGACGAAGCATACAGCTGCCATGCAGATTAGCGTTCCTAGTACTGACTGCCAGGTATCGGTTGGCATATTATCAATCAAATCCAGGAAAACGCCATCTTCATGGAATACAGATGCTCCAAATGACTGACTGAAAATACTCACTGTCAGTTGCATTTCAGGAGGAACAAATACAGTGCATTCAAAAAAAAANAAAAAAAAACTGGAACTACTAACACGTGTAACTATTCTGTTCCTATCAAAAATATTTTGTATAATTTAAAATTGCATCACATGAAGTTCAACAAAAAATATTCAAATATTCAAGTTTCCGTAAGTAGTTTTCGTGCTTGAATTTTACTCGAATATTTTATGAAAAAACTGATAGACCGAAAATTCAAAAGCTGAAGTTGATCACAGCGTGAAAGTGACGAGTAAAAACGGAGAAAAGGAAACTGAGTGAGATGAAAAAATATGAAAATAATTACTATTCAGGTTTATCAACAACACGTCGCCAATTTTGCAACAACTTCCCGCGTTCCAACCAATCCTTTAAGTGTTCACCTTTGTATCCCGTCGTGAAGAAAAATCGACTCAAGTTTTTCTTACTGAAATTCACAGCAAATACGGAACAGAAATGGTATTGACAGTTACATCTTGAAAGATGAAAAACAAGCTGAAAGAATATCTGTTGAAACAAAACCATGCGACCAGCACCATGCATTAAAAATATTACGGTTTCTGTACGACGAAGTATTCTTTCTACGAGGCTAAAATTAGTTCAGCTTAACAACTTTGTCAAATAACCGTTCAAAAGCAGTGATCAAATTGTGTCATTGTTTGCTTAATATGAGTCGAGAATAAGCTAATTCATACATGAGGTTTACTCAAATCTTTATTATGACCATGTTACTGTCAAGTAAATGCCAAATCTTGCCTTCCATCCTCTGTCTCATTCTGTAGCTGAATGAATCCTGACCAGAAATCGTACTCTGGCCAAGCGAGAAATTCTTGAAGATCTGCATTATTGAATTTTAGCGTATCTTTTGTACTCGTTGAATCCTGCTGCTCTTCGTTGTAATCGTAATCCTCAGGTTCAGCTGTTAAATTGGATAAAATAGATCAGAAAATAAATCGATAATCTCTCAAAATACTCAATCTACCCGAAAGTAAACAAGATAGCTCTGTATTTAAATCAATAAAGTTTCACAATTCTTCCATTTCTGCATCAGTTATCAATGAATCGATTAACACCATCATCACATAGCGCAATTGCATAAACACCTAATCAAAATGTTGATCAATTGCTTACTGGTATTCTAAAAGTATCATATAATCGTCTGAAATCAGTCTTCAAGACATCATTTTAAAAAATCTACGTTCGGTTGGACATTTCAAAATTGATTACCCTCTAAAGAGTTTTCGAATTTCGTGAAATCTCTGACGAAATACATTGTTCCAACTGGCCCCCAGCTTCCTCGCAAATGTTCAAAATCATCCACCATTCTATCCATCAGTGCTAAATGTGCTGGTTTTGACAAATCTCCAGGCGTGTTCACAAAAACAGTTGCCATTGCGAAGGAGGGCACTTGATATTGAACACGATAATCATCCAACTGAAATGTTGATACATTGTCTTCGCATCTGTAAATGTACATTCGCAAGCCTGAACATTGATCACGTTTTCACCATACCTAGGTTCATTTCAGCTTCATTCATGTGAGAATTCATATTGGTAAAAAATTTTATGAATGTTTCCAGCGTTCAATAATAATCGAATCGATGCCAACCTTGACAAGTGGTGAGTCATGAGTGAACAGTTTTTGTACAGTAAGATTGACATTTAACCGAGTGATACCCTGAAAAAAAAATTGCTTCGCTGATTTCATTTCTTCGAAACGGAGACGAACGATTCTTGCATATACGATTAAACAATTGAAGAAAAATTACGAATTTCTCAGCGGATTAACATTGCAGATCATCAGATCAATCAAATCAGTTTCACAACAAAAATTTAATGCAACTGACCCAAATTGAAAAAACGACGTACATTAAGTAGATCAATATTGTCAGCGATGATACAACCGTATGTGTGACGAAATCCACATACACTCGCATATACTTACTGATATACAGTTTTGAAGTGTCATGGAAACGTGAAGCTTTTCTCTGTAATTTTTTTTCTGCATGGGGAGTTGTTAAATTCGATATCAAGTTTTTCATCACTTACGAAAACATTCAACAGACGGCTGAATGCTAGAACATTATCGATATCTACAGTGGCCGAAATTAAAAGTAAACGTTTGAATAATAATCAGTTGGGGAGGACTCGCTCACTGAAATGTTTAAGAAAACTAACAGTAACTTGGTCATGACGATGGATGTTCACTTTGATGTCATTTATTGTTACAGCCATCTTGTTTCGTTCCATATTTTCAGCCTTGATTTCGAGGTTACCAACAATCGCCATTAGACCAGAATAAAATGTCATCTGCAGTACATAATCAAATGAAATTTATTGATGCGCATCGCAAGAAAACAAAAAAGAATGAATATTCCAAATTTATACAAAAAACAAACAGTCAGACAAAATTCTCCGTTGATAGAATGTAAGAACGTTAATAGAAAAGAGAAAAGTTTCCAAAGAACTGCCGAACTAACTTGATATATGAATGCCATAAACATGGAAAATAAGTTTCCAATACAAAGTAAGCGAATTTCAGGCGACGACGTCCAACAACCAACTGCGTCAGCCAATATGTTTGTTATCGCTGATATCAAAATAGCCGGACCTACTTCCATGAGTACCTCAAAAATAATTGGATTGTCTGAATATTGGCTTGTATCTTCCTAATTTTGAAAAATGGTTTTTTGGATTGTTCTTATGGAGTATTTGAATATTTCTGTCATATCTTCTTGAAACATTTGAACAGAATGAATTCGGTTGAGCATACGTAATGAATATGAGTGAGATTTATTTCAAGTTATTTGAAAAATTCATACTTCAGACATCCGATGACCAACACAATCGTCTTTCCGTAATTTGTTATCACGAATTTCTTTTGTTACTCTCTGCCATTCATGAATCATTAAATATGAACTGTCAACACCTGTGAATGATCATAATTATTATCTTCTTTCTTACCTTTAACATGTGCTTTAGTATATATCACTTACTTACGTTTACTCAACCACATGAATATGCAACAACTTCTTTTCATTTTTATCATTCAAACACATTTTGGAACTTTAACGAAACTTATCATTTGATGATTCGGATTTGCTCATTTATATTCAAAGTTTTAGAAGTATTGCAGAAAGTTGAAACATAAATTCTTTCGAACGTAACATGTTCTAAAAATCTAATTCTTTCAACACTGAGGTAAAAATTTGAAGATTTTAAAAAGTATTTTATATGGAATATTCGAGTAGAGTGAAAGTTATTTGGAAAGTATGCCCACCTATTGACAACACAAGAAATGGTATCACACAGAGAATCGATGAGAAACGGACACCAACCAAAAACATAATCGCAAGTGCTGTTGAACAGCCCATCAATGGTGTTATGCAAGCCATTACTGCCAATATTATCTTCAATATTCTATTAAATAACTTCGTTGAAGTTGAAATGAAAGAGTCATATCAAAATTATGAGCTGTACTAACCACTTCCATCTGCTGATTAACATCGCAAGAAAACATAATGTTATTGACTCATTTTGTGTAGCGTCAGGTCATAAAATTTTGATTCAAATGGCCTCAGAATTTTATTTTTAAAGAATAAGCGTCAGCTGACATAGAAAATAAAATAGAAGTAAAATTAGCGGAGAAGATCGCCTTCAAAATGCGTGAACTGAAAAGGGATCATAACTGGTTAAGGTTTTCCAGAATTTACCTTATAAATATTACTTTGATGCATATACGCAGCCCGAACAGTAACAGTAAATATTGAACAACAACACATAATAATGAATCCAACGATGAGATAAGGTAATAATGAAACTCCAGCTTCAACCATTTCTTCTTCTATGTAGGTTTTTGACATCACATATACTTCAAGACGATCCGATTTGTACTTACTGAAACATAATTCGTATTGGAATTTATGCCCATGGTACACCTCATTCTCACTAGTTTCATTTATATTTAAATTTTCAACGTAAATCACTGAATCATACGGTCAGTTACTGTTGCATTTGAAAGAACTAATATATATTGAATGTTAGCACAACTTTAAAAATCATTCAAGGAATCATTGCATCTTCATGAACAATACCAGACTTACTTTTGGAAGAAATCAACCATTCTCATTTCCCAATTTTTCACATCGTCGTCTGTCCAAACGGCTAAGTGTTGAGCACGAAATTGTAGGCTAATCATTTTAACTGTTTTCATATTTGTTATGTGAACATCAGAGAAGGTCTTATTTGATGAATTTTCGATGACTGATGTATCATTTTCAAAAAATTTCACGGTCTTTTTCGAGTTCTCTGCATCATTTGGTAGCGTCTCGTTGTAAAGTTCGACACCGAAGAAGTTTTGCTAAAATTATATGTGGTCGACCGACGTTGTTTAAGTTTAGGTGATGCTAAAGTTTGAAAAAATCTGTAGGTAAATCACCTTGAATTATAGTCATGATCTCCGTTACACAACATCAAAAATACATTATGCCATCTCGTCTTTGACGTTCAAATAATTTCAATTCATATATTTTCTCACAGTTTATGTGCAGCTTACATCAAATTTCGCATTACTTCTCTACGGCTATATGCGACAGATTTTCAGGTTTATTACCAAAATTGCTACATTCACAATTGCATCACTTCTCAAGATGTAGTATGAAAAATGTGAATCATTGTTTTCGATTTTCCATATTCAATAGCTCACTGATTTTGTAAATTAGATACCTGCTGAGAAACAGTCTTGAAACGAAGGTCAAACAATATCGAAGGAATGAGATTGAAGTTAAATCAGTACAATTGAAGCTCGTCAACCAGATTATGTGAGTGGAAAATTGGAAAGTTTGATGGAAGAGGCTGGTATTACACATTTTTGAATAATCGCTGAACAAGTTTCCAAACTGTTTTCAGTTAACTAATGAGCTTTGAACTGTGTGTGATTTGCTTTCAAAAAATTATTTGATTCACCTGTAAGCTGAAACTTCGACCAAACATACTACTGATAGGATATTTGAGCTGAAGGCGATCAATTAATTCTTCTCCTCTTTCAAGTGATGCTTCCTGTATTAGGAAACCATTCTAAAAATTCGAAGAAATTAGTTCGAAACGCTCAGAGGGCATAACTGAACATATTACATGTCTGTATAGCAAGACATTCCGTGAGTTCTAAAACAGAGCATTATTTTTTCGAGTTTGTACGCTAAACGAGTACTTTGAAGGAGATTGATGCAGAAAGAATAACCAGAGGCCTTCAAAGGATCAACATATATACTGAAAATATGAAGGCATCATTAGTGCATTTGGAAAGAGCGATATAAACTTTTGCGTATGTATCACTTACAAAAAACTGCTGAACTGGTTCATTGATTATGCAAAAATTGATGCAAAATTCATTAAATGACTGATTCACTTGCAGATCACTGTTATACATCGTGACATTGTTTGACGCAAGGTCAAGTATCTAAAATAGTGTTCACGTATTATTTCTTGTAAATTCCATCAACATAAACTTTAACTCACTGCACTGGCTCAGAACGTATCAATTTTCTTGCTTGTATGTTCATACTAAAGGTTCAGAATTCACGATAATATTTCTTCTAGCATCCCTTCAGTGAGACTCATAATCGGAGTAATATTAAATCTACTGAAAGTAGAATTATTCGAAATATTCATTGAGGACATAAAAATGAGTTATCGTTATTTTCCTCATGAAATAATTCCGAACGTTCAGCCTCAATCGGATCGAAACAAATCACAGTGAATAGATGGTGAAATACTGGATCAGTGAAGCAGAAGTTAGCAACCTCAATAGTTTCTCTGAGATATTCTGATCGAATCATTGATCCACCATCCTTAGCGAGTAAAAATATATATGTTGCTATAGCAAGACCATCGTGCGAGAAAAACGACGTATACTGTTTATATTCAAGCCTTGAGCGAGCCTCAAACGGCGTGTAACCAACTATATCATTCTTCTGACTGTAATTGCTCGTACTGATTAAGTTTCGAATCTTACGAATCGAAAAGCTGATTAATTCATTGGGCATATTTTTTAGAGTAAGATGAAGGTTGACATAGTTTCGCACTGTCAGATGACTTGATCAGTTTCAAAATCAGGCTGTGATTTGAACAAAAATGCAAATTACAAATAGAGATTATCAGCTAAAGGACTTACGGAGTTAAAAAAATTTTGACGGTTGCTAGAAGTGAGATCGCAATGCAAATAAAAATAGCAGTCCATGGATAATTCGATATTATATAGCCCCACTTTTTGTACACTTTTATTATAAGTACAACAAATCTGAAATTTTTTCAAGTACAAAATCTGAAATTTCATTTGATTGGTTCAGAATGATTTTTTTTTACGGTACTAAAGTGATTTTGTTAGCAATAAAGTCTAATAAGGTATGCATAATGTATAATCGCTCTGTAAACATTCCTCTGACTTTGTTGGGATTATGTTGTTACTGTTGTGATTGTTATTGATAGGACTACCATTATACTGATTCAAAGGAGAACGCAACTGAATGGTAAAAAGTTGTTCAAGTACTTCTTTTCCAGGTCTATTCATTTATGGCAATTTTTCATTCATTTTGATCTGAATTTTGATACGGTCATTAGAAAGAGCACAAATTAATTGCTTATTTCGACATCGTTTTCGATCTTCAGTTTTAGTTTTTGAGAGAGCAAATAGACATGCCCATTAGGATGACAAATTCATTCTGATATCGGAAGGCCGAAGCTTAATGCAGAAGAATACATCATCTGATCTGGAAAATACCCATGTGAAATTTTGCTTGAAGAAAGCCAGTTTGGGAAGTAGCTGGGTCAACTTGTTTTTCTCTTGAAGCGCCATGTTTCGCGATTTGCGGATTCCAAAATTTCTCATATCTCACCTTTTAAAAAATGCTTTTCGTTCCGAGAACAATTCATCTGTAACACTGCTTCCCAAGACTTAGTGTGAGAAGTCGCTACAACAAATAACTTTTGCCTAAGACGTTTAAGGAAGAGTGTGAATGACGCGACATTTCAACATATTTTTTCCGGTGAACTCTTGCACACGATATTTCCAAATAACACACTAGCTTGGAGCCTTACCCAAAAAAATTCCAAAATTTTTAAATTGATGCATTATTGCGCCAGGTTTGGTTAAGCTACCTTCCAGATCAATTCTTTTCCGTTCATACAGATCGTTATTAGACTAAAGGACATATTTTTCTAATATTTTTTCCAGCATATTTCATGAGCTGGGAACTGGAATCTCTAGAATTTCATTTTTTCCATACAAAAATCTGCCACTTCAATACGCAGAATTATACTGATACTTTAATATGCATAATTATACTTTGATATGCATAATCTTACTATGCTTATATTCTTTCCGTAAATTCTTGGTTCAGGATTACTTATGATCAGTATTGACCAAAAGAGCTTGCATTAAAATCGATTGCATACGTTGGTTCTTGATCGCCAGATTCTTCAATAATTTCAATTGATCGTTGTCCGACGAGAATACTGCTCTTTCGATCTGGTGGACGTGTGCTATTTCGACGTTGCATTTCACGTTCGGCTGTGCGTTTCTCGATCTCATGTCGAACGGACATCTTTGTTATGTCTCTCTTCCCAACTATTGAATCACTTTTAACTCGTCGCTCGTAAAAACGCTCTGATCAAAACACTGAAGTAATTTATGATTATATGACCATTCTTTTTACTTGATGCATTATGCGGAAAATAAAACCAAGTATGTGCTATTCCTAGTTCAAAACGCAAAATGAGTACATGAAACGATAAAAGAAAATTTAGTGATAATAACATAACGTAATTCAGCATTCATTCAGCGCCTAACTATAACAATCGCGTTGTAGCACATAAATATTAAATTACAATTGTATACAAATCAGACCCCTCACATTAGTAGAAATTTCTTTTTCTTCTGCCGTACGAACCGAAATTTTAAAGTTCTACTGCTGTGATGAAAAATCAATGGTGCTGTGGATAGGAACATTTAAAGAGGGGACCAAACTTGACAGGAAGGATCAAACTGAAAAAAACATGTTTAGCAATGCGTTTCGAAGTGTCAGCAAGCGATGACATTGAAAATATTGGCGAATAGTATTCAGTAGGTTGAATGATGTTTCTAACGATTGAGCGTTTAGAAAACTCACATCACAGGTAAACAACTTTCGAAATCATTCGCTGAATAACAGTTGAATTGGAATTTGGTTGCTGATTTCATGAATTATGTACTTTTAGGTGTCTTCAAAAAATTTGTTTCCTCATGACTAATCTTTAAGTATGCCATTATGATGACATCGATTTTCATTAATTTTTAGCTTCATCTGAAACTTTAGCTTCTTCATTCTGAAATTTTAGCCATATGTTTTCCCTACTTCTTCTATCAAAAAGGGGTGAGCGGCCACTTCCTAACATTCACGAAATTTCAAAATTTAATTTTGAACGCATAGCTTATATTGGTAAGATTGAAATCAGGACCAATATTAAAACAAGCCGGTCTGATTCAAATTGCATTAACAACCAACAAGAACAGTGCAAAAAGAGGAACGTTTCAAAACACACCACGTTAATTTCACAATGGAATTGATTGTAATTTCAGCAATTCAGAGCGCAATTTGTTTGCTTGAATCGACAACCTCAAGTGGGTGTAGCAGCATGCGCTACAACCTTACGAACTTCAAAGAATGCCTTTGAATCCATTCGCTTTTCAACTTTCTGTTATTCTCGCTAAACGCTCAACGTACGTTCAGTTGAAATACAAAATGGTTCAGTCAGAACTCGACCGAACACTTTCCAAAGTCAACAAACTCCAGTAATTAAAAAAATCCGGCAAGACGCTAAAACTGAAAATTCGGTCGGTTACTGTCACTACTGTGCACCGCTAATGGCCTACATCGTAGCGGTCAACATTGTAGTTAAAAGCATAGAAATGAGCAGAAACCACAATACGGGTAAATGACTGGTGACCGATTCGATTTGGGATTTAGAAGAAATGCGAAATCGAGTAAATTTATCAAGAAAACTTTGATGAATAGAGTAAGTGAGAATTCATAATTGAGGAGTGATGAAGCAATGGTAGGTATTCGATGAATTCAGCTGTGCTACCCAGCGAGAAACGAAATAATCTATTTTCGACACCTATTAGTTTGTTTTCATTTTGACATGAGAGTGTTGCCGTACTCAACAATCGCAAAAGACTTGAAGAACTCGTATTCCTGACGTGTTCGTTTTGATGAGCAAGTAACAGTTTGACGAGTTGTTGTTTCAAAATATAGAAACACGTCGGCATCTGTGATTAACGCCACAATTTGGTGCTAATAAGTTGCTGTTTTAATTGCTAATTGATCGAACAATTACGACATGACTATTTTTATAATCCACACTTTGATTGCGTACAATTATGGAGCAGAAATAAATGTCAAAACAAACTGACAAATGAAACACATAATGATGCCATTCGAAGACGTGTTCATTTAAACGCTACATGTCTTATCGCCGCTATGCAAATGAATGTTTTAAAAATAACAAGTGCTTGAATTCTTGGTGGAAATTAATTAAGATATACGATGGAAGATCTTCAATCAAGATTTAATTGAAATAAACTTGAAAGTTTTAATTCAATCAAGCAGTTGGCGGGCTTAACCAATGAAAGTTTATGAATAATGTGAGTACCCCAGATTCAAGGAGTTCCGATGAAAACACTGAATACTACATGCATCCGACTGGAGTGTAGCATCAGATTGGAGTAACTATGATTTGCACGATCTACTACAGTTGTGATCAATTTCATGTTAGTCATAAATATGGATGAGAAAGAAATCAGTCTTTTCAATATTGGCAAGCAAATAAAAAAAGAATGAAAGTAACGATGTAAATGGGAAGAAATTCATAAATAGACGAATAAATGCTGTAAGCGAATAAGATGAAGGTAGAACTAAAGCAAGTCGGGTGAAGGAGCAGACTGCTATCAAAATGGCCGAACGAAATGTTCACTTGCCTTTATTAAACGATCAATGCCACAGTCAAACCACTAACATAATTCTCAGTTTTATTCATTAAAACGTGTTCTGCATGCCATCAATAACTTCACCTTTATTGCACATGATAACTGCAGGAGGCTTGACTTTATTGATGCCTTCTCTCGATACTACCTGTCGTGAAATCACTTTCAGACGTAGCGTGTTGAAGCTCAGTACAAATAAGCTTCACATTTCGAACATGTTTGTATAACAGGTGTCTTCGTCAGTCTCATGAACTGTTTTTTTTCCGACAATCTAATGAACAGTCTTCATGTCACACGTTCGTTTGCTGTGCATCATATTTTTAATCGTATCAATACAATGAGTCTTTGATCAATATTTCCACGAGGATAGTCTAAGTAGGATGTGACAACAAGCTGATTTCTTCTTAAATGGACTTACAACTCACATATCTAAAACCAAATGTTCCACTATAAAGACCATCACTCCGTTACTTGCGTGTGCAAAAAAATTGGATTTGCTGGATGAGGCGAGCGTTTTATGAACTAGCAGATCAATCTTATGAATTATTGAAGAAATTTCAGAGATATTGTGCTCCACCTCGAAACATTATGGCAAAAAACCAGTTCAGTGTAAACATTTGAATTAGCAGATTATGTGGAGTTCTAAAGATTCATATCTACTTTATACTTAGTCTTATCATAGGTGGAAGAGTTTATGCAACTAAATGACTACAACTGCAATCACCTTTGATCGCCACTATATGATTATTTTGAGCTATAAGGCTTCCGCTTCATACTCTGCCCCTCAGATAGCTTTTCTGTCAACAAATGGAAGCGTTGTCGAATTCAGAGAGGATGGCTTATAACCTGGATCATGTTTCATATTTCTACTTCTACATGATGCACCATTTCATTCAACTCTTCTACACAGATCAATTCCCAGCAACTACGCCAGAATAGCAAATAACTGAAAATAACGTCAAAAGATTCAACAGAAAACAACAACAAAAAACGTGAGATAATCAGTGCTTAGATACAATCCGTTTGTTCGATGGGTACCTAGGAAAATCGATTGAATATCGTAAATGCAAAAAAAAACCTCACTGGTTTGTACAACACCTTTGAAGGACTATGAATAGCAATGATAATAATATCAATGAGACGGAAGATGTCACTCAAAAATATTTTGTTCTCAAAAGAAACTGGTTCCATCTTTTTACATGATTCAATAGAGAATATGCCATGTTGATCATGTCAATACAATTTCACAAAACCGTAAGTTTTTGCAAGTGTTCAATAACAAGTTTCCAAAACTATCAGTGATCTGAATTCATCAAACAATATCATTAATTGAAATTAATCAACGGATATATAATCAATTGATATAATCAGTGGATACATAATCAATCATTTCCATAAGTTGCAAATGAAATACAAGAATGATGACAACTACAAGACGTCACTTAACTGGGAGTTTGATTTATGTTCATCGGATTGCATCACATACTAAATGATAGCGTAAATTCGAGTGAACCAATCTTAACGTAATATTGCATTTGTGTCATTACAAAATATTACCTCAACCATAGTCCACTGAACTACTCCTGAAACACCTACAGTACTAGTATAACTGATGAAGTTTCGATAAACGTAGTTCTTATTGCAAAGTGCGAATCTTTCTGTGCCAATATGAGAGAAAAACCTGCCTTTCTTACTGGGAAGAAAAGTGTCTGCTGATCGTGAGCATCAGTGGTTCAACATTGCCGATTTCAATCCAGCTAGATACATAATGACATAGACTGTTTCTATAAGTAGAACAGTTCTTTGAGAGGATCATTTCGGTTAACCCAGTTTAACAAAAAAAAAACCTCAAAGAATTGCCGAAAACACAGTATTAGGCCCCGAAATTTCGGGGAAAATAGCTGAGCTCTTCTTTTGCTGTATACGACGGCAACACAAGAGATAATAATTCGTCCCAATAAAACACATGCAACACAAAATTGTCAAAATATGCATATTTTTATTCTTCATTTATTTATTCCTTATATCTGAACTGTTTTCACGTCGTCCTCAGCACGAATAGGCATCTGCAGCATAGCAGAGGAATCAGAAACTGATTCCTCACATTTATGTTTCATTGGCTCGAGCAGTGCATAGATTCGACGGTATTTAACCTCAACCAGAACAGTTTCTGCTGCTAAACAAATCACGCTTCATGCAGTCTTTTAGTGTCGTGAATTAGAAGCGGATGTTTCTCGTCTCAATGAATGGGCAAAAGTCATTGAGTGGCGAGAGAAATTTTCTTTCCATTCAATCTGAGTGAGCATCAAAAATTTGAGAACTTTTCAGTTTTTGAGTACAAAAAACATTTTCTCCGAACAAAGGCTAAATTGTGAATAGCTCCACTGCATGGCTACTTGCCATAATTTCTTGGGAATTGCTTCTTGATTTGTCTACAGTCTCGAGTTTATGGTCATCAGTTCGAATTGAACCGATCACGAATTCAACATCTCTAATGATGTGTCTCATTCACGATGAGAATATCCTTTATTGGCCAAAAAAATATTTCATAATACACAACCCAGCAAATAAATTCTGTTGACA